TTTTTCCCTCTGCTCTTAATAAGATTTTTGTCTTCAGAAAAACATATTTTTTGAAAACAAATTGCTCTCTTATTTGCACCTTGTCTTCATAGTGCTGTCATAATATTTATAATGAATTGTTGCAATAAATTGGAATGTCATCAGTAAAAGAGATTATTATTTTATTTAATTAGAAGTAGTTTATTAATTTGAAACTGAGCAAAGCGGCCAAGAAAAATGAAAATTTTTCATTAAAAAACCTCCCCAAATTTATCTCCGTGAAGCATCTTTTGAACATTTCCAAACTCAGCCAAGATCAAATGATATTTATAATGAATTGTTGCAATAAATTGGAATGTCATCAGTAAAAGAGATTATTATTTTATTTAATTAGAAGTAGTTTATTAATTTGAAACTGAGCAAAGCGGCCAAGAAAAATGAAAATTTTTCATTAAAAAACCTCCCCAAATTTATCTCCGTGAAGCATCTTTTGAACATTTCCAAACTCAGCCAAGATCAAATGACTGAAGGATCGATTTTTTTTTTTTTTTTCTTGGCTTCTCAATTCAACATCCCAGCTCTTAAATCTGCTACAACCTATTACATTAAAGCTATTTTTGGAAATGGTCAATTTTGAAAGAAGATTTTGAGAAAACAGATATAAACTTTCTAAAAAAGCAGTCTTTTGTATTGCCCTTTAAAATAAAAGTGTTTTTCATTTGCTTAAAATCTTTAAAGAAGGCATTGCAGTAGCAAGATGTTATCACAGATTTAGGATGAAGTGATTTATCATTCAAGTTTCAATCTACAAAAATTCCCATGACTGTTGCACAAAAGCCTCAAACAATAGAGATCTTGCAGAATATCTACGACTTGCATTCTAAAGTTAAAACTGTATTTTTTCTGCCAATTTAGCACACTTCTCTGTTCTTATTCTTAGAGAGAAAAATCACATAGGATAAGTAATAGGTGAATTAAGATTAATATCTTGAGTAGCAACATAAAAAAATATTTTTGACATGGGTCATTTTCTGACCTTAATTGGTAGATGCCGACAGAAAATTGTAGGAGGAAAAAAAAGAAAAAACAAGGAATAAAATGCATTTTAACTCTTTTAAATGGTTTGGTTATGAGATTTTTCTGAAACAATTCCAAAACACAGAGCTACGTACAACAGGGATTCATCATCACACAAGGAAACATTTGCTATGAAAGAGGAGAGAAGTTCGTTACTGTCATCATTCGAGGATCAAGTACCCGTCCCTATTTTATAGGTTTGGAAGAAATTCTCATGTGCTTCAAGCTGGACTTCAGATGGAACCTGGGGCATGCGCTGTACTCAATGCTTGTGTGATTCCCAAGTCCATACGTTGATGCCTTAATCTAATAACATGATGGTGTTTGGAAGAGGGACCTGTGGGAGGTGATGAGGTGTAAAGGAGGTCGTGAGGTGATGCACTACGATGGGATCAATGTCCTTATAAGAAGAGGAAGAGACCAGCGTTCTCGCTTTCTCTTTCTCTGCCTTGTGAAAACACAGCCAGGAAGAGGACCCTCATTAGGAAATGAATCAGTTGGCACTTTGATCTTGGACTTCCCAGCCTCCAGAGCTATGGGAAATAAATGTTTGTTGTTTAAGTGATCCATTCTATCTAATTTTGTTACAGTAGCACAAGCCGACTAATACTGGGTCTACATTGGTTAAGTATTTCTGGGCAAAGTAAACAAATACACAAATAGCACACCAAACCAGATTCCATCTGACCCAATAAATTAAAAGACACCAGATTTTTAAAAAATTGACAGCAATTATGGCTCCATCCTTGGGGCAGCCTGTTTCTTCATTATAGGGCAAACTATTGGCCATGGTTATTTAATAAAAAAAACAGGAAGAGGAAAAGTTAGCTTCAAGAAGCTCTGGAAGGTAAGGAAAGACCTTGGAACAGGTTAAGTTGCTTCTCTGTGGATCATTTTTAGTGACAAATATTTCTATTTTAAGTATAGCTTTGGGCCTGCTTGAAAATGTATTGTCAGAAGAGATGTCTGTGTGTTGCTGATAGGTAATCAGGAATCAAGGACCAAAAGTTTAAGAAGCTGTTTTCATGAGAGATTTAGTGAGACTCTGGGCATGACACAGGCTTCTATGGAGCCTAACCGACTGAGTGTGTGCGTGTGTGTGTGTGCACACATGTGCACACATGGGCTGGCTGTCATGTCCACAGGGTGCTAGAGTGATGGGACCAAGCACACTCTAGGATCACAGAATGATTTTGCGAGCACGTCTTCTCAGAGACAGCAGGAAAAGTGACACAATGTCTTGGTCCAGAGGCTGGGTCAAAGACATGGCATTGACCTTATTTCTGCGGCAAGTGAAGTATTTTTATTCTCAGAAGTAAGTGAGCACACTGCTGTGGGGGGAAAAGTGTGTGCTTCCATTTTAATTTGGTTGTATATGTCAACGTGACTTGAATGATACTACAAATCCTAGAATGTGCAGGTTGCATGTGCTTTTATAAGGACAAGGTACGGTTAAAAACGAGGATAGAGATGGGGGTGGGAAGACAGAGACAGAAAGGTTGGGTGGGAGTATAAGGAGGAGGGGATAGGATGGGAGAGACGGAGATGGTACAGGGCTGGGAGGGAAATACGAGGGAGAATGAGAAAGAAACAGAGCTGGAAATAGAAACTCAAGTTGGGCTAACGGTGAGCCAAGGATGGGGAAGAGAGAGAAATGAGTAGGGGGTCACGTAATCAGCTGCTGAGATAGATGCAGACTTAAACATTAACTCTGTAGCTGTCCTAAAACTTTCAACTGCCAAGGCTGGGTAATGGGGTCAGATTTTATTTTCAGAATGTTTTCCAAATATAATGGAGTCAGAAAAAGAAAACGTTCTCCAATGAATTTGTGGGTTTTGGCAATGTTTGGCAAGATACGACACTGTCAGTATAAATAAATTCAGGATAACAAGTATAGGTATATTGTTCTGCTTCAGTTTTCAAGATGACCCAAAGGGGTAAAATCAAAAATCACAAGTACAAAGGAGAAAGGAAAAAAAGAACGCAAAGCTCTATCACATTAAGGTCATAATGGAGCAGTTGTGGAGGTAATAATATTCTGGCGGGTGGCTCCATAGTGTAATGGTTAGCACGTCTGCTTTACACGCAGAAGGTCCTGGCTGGGTTCGCACCTTAGGTGGAGCCATGGGCCAGCCCGCCTCACCTCTGAGTGCTCTGGGGGAGCCTGGCCCAGAGGCACCAAGCCCTAGGTGCACACTGTGAGTGTGTGGGAGGAGACGCCTCGCCTTCAGAGATACAGTTCTTAAGGGAAAAACAGCAACATCCATAAGTCAGAGGTGGAGAAACTCGGTGTGTGACGAGCCACCCAAGAGAGGAAAGAAAAACAAATAAATACTAAATAAATAAAAATAATAATATTCTGGCTCTTTCGAATGATACTATTGATATAAAAATGTGTATGGTAAGAAGAACACTGGGACTTCAGATTCATGCCTGGATTAAAATCTGAGTGGCACCAATTTATAAAGATGAATACTATAAAATAACCTATGCTAAGCACTTAGCACAGCGCCAGAAATTTATCATTACTTTTTTTCCCCAGTGATGTCTTCTTTACTATTCTAACAAAATAAGAAAAGATAGACTCGTTGCTATCTTTATTTTATTAAACATCTCTGTATGGTACTCAGCACTGTGCTTATTAGAGCTATTAAGATTTATAAAGAAATTCCAAGGATTAGAGAATGCCTTAACGACCTCACAATGTTGTTGGGAAGATAAAATATCAAACAGTACAAAATAATTTAAGACTTGCTGAACTTCACCTTGCTACAGGTTCTGGAGAAGAGCTGAGATTTCAGATTCTGGAGAAAACAGGCAGGAAAGGAAAGCCAGGTAGGGGGATGGCACTGGAAGAGGCTGCAGGGGAAACTGCTAACATTCTCTGAGCATTTGCTAAGGGACAACACAGGGCCTGAGAGCTATTTCTCATCAAGTAGCTTTTGGAGATTACAGGAGAGAGAATTCTAATTCATCCTGTATAAAGACATATTGTTCTCGTCTTGGGTTTCTGCGGCATTGTGAACTTCTCAAGGCCTGGAGAAGTGCCTAACTAACCTTTCCGTGTCTCCGAAGCCTAGCGTAGACACGCAGCAAGCAGTTGATTTGTACAACGGGACTGAAATGCATTGTCATGCTTTTGTGGCTTCTGAACTAGAACAGAGGCTGTGGGAACGACCCTGGTCAGAAACTGCAGGTCGGGCTCTCCTACCTTGCACACGGACTGTCAGCACCACGGTCAGCAAAAAGATCCTAACTGAATTCAGATGATTGTGGCATCATCTGTATTCATTTTTACAAATGCAGTGTTTTTTTGGTTTGCATATTTTTTTCATCAGCATTATAAGAGATTAATTTTACTGGGACGTAGCTATATGGGAATTGGTTTTATATTAGTATTTATGTTCAAATATTAATGTACAAATACCGTTACCTGATAACAACCTAGCATCAGTGCGGATCATCTCAGAATAATGAGTCTTTTTAGCGTCTGAACACCACAGTTTCTTTTCTATTGAAAGCACTAAAAGGGGAGACAAGACACTGTCACGATCTCCTCAGATAAAACTCTTTCCTCAGGGCAGACCACTCCTTGCTTCTTTCTGACACAAATCGAAACCACACAAACCAAAGTCCAGCACAAATTCTTCTCTTCCTATGACACACACATTTGTAGGGAAGAAATAATTCCGGATGAATTATCTCACCAAGATTCACAGAACTGACATGAAGCAACCTCTCCTGACTGGAACTATCTGTCCATGTCTTCCCAGAGGCGACGTGAGCAAATCCTGCCTGTCAGCGACAAGGAAACCGATAGGATTGCCAATATCACGGAACGGCAATAGTGACAACAGGGACAGCAGCATTTCCTGCATGCTGTGCTTTCAATGATCTGTGGACTCAAACTAAGTAAACGCAGAATTCTGCGTCATTTCCTTTACCTTGGCCAGATGAGAGTTGATCCATTTTGTGAAAGTGCGTTTTTGTACTATCTCTTGCTCATCTAGAAGGAAAAAAAAAAAAAATCTCATTAGATAACACAGTATGTCATGAAGGTGTATCATAAAAAATGTAGTTACACAACTCTAGAAGTAACGGCAATATTATTTGATCTTTTAATTCATTTTATCGATTTATTGTCACAAAGGAAGAGGGAGTACAGCTCTAAGAGTATCATGAATCAATTAGATCTCCTTTAAAAATTATCAGCAAATACTTTAACATTTGCAATATGTTGGCCCTATGTTTACCTTCATTCACTTATTGAAAGTTCACTGTATAGTTAGACCTCAATAAAGTTGTTTGAAAAAGGTTCACTGAGACCAACTAAGTGCCAAGTTCTATGCTAAATGAAAAGAGATACAGAGAGATGAATGGGCAACATCTCCACCGTGAAATCTCTAGAGGTAGAGACAGACAAGCAAGGGCATGTGTACACATATGCACTCAGTTCTACAGTAATGCCTTCGGGCAGAGCTGCAGACGTGACGTGTCACACTCGGCTGGGGAGAGTGGTGAGCACTCTCTAGGGTGACCTCCAAAGAGGAGTCCACAACTTCACATAGGCAGACCGCAGGCAGAACCTGGAACTTGCTTCTAATCAACAGAATATGGCCAAAGTTTGGGATGCCACACCCATAAATATGTTACTTTCTGTAAGATTCCATCTTAGCCAACTCGAGTGAGAGATTTTCCCACTGGCTTTGTAGAAGCAAATGGTCATGTCGTCACCCGCCTATGGAGAGGGCCATGTGGCAGGGAAGTGTGGGCTGCCTTCAGGAGCTGGGGGCAGCCTCCAGCCAAGAGCCAGCATGAAACTGGGGCCCTCAGTCTTACAGTAGCAAGGAAACAAATTCTGCCAACAACCTGAATGAGTTTAAAAGTAGATTCTTCCTTCGTTCAGTCTCTGGATGAGAATGCAGCCCTGCTGAGAATGCAGCCCTGCTGACATCTTGAGTTTGGATATTTGAGACCCTGAGCAGAAGATGCATCTAAGCTGTGCCTGGACTCCTGACCCACGAAAGTTTGGAGACAGTAAGTGACCATTATTGAAATGGTGACAGTTGTGGTGATTTGTGATGGAACAAGAGAAAACTCATATTGGAAGAAAAAGAGAGAAGGTCCTATGAAAGTTTTAATCAGTGGTAAATGGAGAAAAAGGCCGGAGAGGGGCCAATGTGACACTGATCAAAGAAAGGGTGAATTTTACTCATGCCACCAACTTTGAGTGACTGTCAGTATTTGTGAAACATTAGATGTTGTGAGAAATACATGTGAACAATACATAATTTCGATTCCTCACCCTTTGAGGAATGATGCTCAAATCTCCACCTCAAGAGCTGACTGCTCCCAAGCCTCAGCTGGGAACAGCTGGCTGCCTGCCAGAACAACCCCACCATGAGCGCAGTAACTGCTCCCAGTGCCTACGAATGTAACAGATACACACTGCCAGATGAAGAAAATCAAGAATGAGACTTTTTAATTTGGAGAAATTTAGGATATATCCATAAGATTTACAGAATGCCATTATTTCTAATGTACTTTTAAACATGTACTTTAACTTTCAAGGACATACCAACAATAAACCAGTATAATAAGCAATACTTCCTATGTACGTCACTGTTATTTCCATCTCTAGCTCTATTTCTATATAGATTACATTATAATTCAATTATTTTAATTAATTAGTTCTATATCATGTAATATATAGGTATTAACTTATTTATTTCTTATATCAAATCTATAAACAGCAAGTATTACAACGCCTGTTTTACAAATTAGGAAACCAAGGCATTTGGTTTTTTTAAGCATTTTTACCAAAGTCATCCAGTGCCAGAGTCAAGTTTTAGACTCTAATGTCCTGATCCTATACCACTATTCTGTTGCCCAAAGATAGCATAGAATTACTCTATTAGTCATATAAAATATTAATCACATCAAAATGATAAATTCATAGTTATCCATTTGACTTTGACCTTCAAATCTTTAGATTCTATAAGTGAAGTCATGTAGCAACAGAATGATCTTAACTAATCAAGCTAGATTTGCTGGAATTCAGAACTTTATCTATAATACAAAAAATCCAATTCTAAGTGTAAAATAGCCAATAAGTATAGTTATAGTGTTGGTACAGTTTTAAACTCAGTTTGAGATTATATATTATTTTACAAATATCACAAGATGAAAATGTTTTAAAATCTTAAAATAAATTAGCATAATGTTAGTGCATAGAGTCATAAAATTAGGTATATAATCTACTGATAATATCTTACCTCCTAATTTTAAATTGTTATATTTATATACTACCACCTTTAATGAAACAATACTGCTATTATAATAGTTCCAGCTGATGGTAAATCTCTGAGTCTTAGTTAGACCTTAGCTAAAAGGTCTTTTAGAAAGAGAAAATTATGATTTTGGTAGCAATTTTGTATGTATCTAAATGTCAAATTCTCTTCATGTTTCCTTTTATGGCTGCAAAAGCAGATTTTACTGGTTCTTAACAATCTACTTTTTATATCATCAGACACGGCCAGCTGAATTCTAAGTAAATATTTTCTGATTTTACTTACTATTTTCCTAAAAGAAAATTTCTAAACTTCATCATGTCAGTAAATTCTTATTTTTGATATAAAAATCAGAATACGTTAGCCCAGAATTTAGTAATTGAATCTGATAGCAACAGCATAAAATGTTCAAATCCTAGAAGCAATACGAACCATGCAGTCCATGTTTATTTACTACACTGTCTTAGAAAATCTATTATGAAGAATAACACTACTTTATAATGCCATTGACAGGGAACTAACTTAACATTCATAGTAATGGTTTATAAAGTTCTCCTCGTGCACCTGGAGCTGTATTTAAAGGAACATTGTTTAAATGTATTTAATAGTTAATCTTACTAGTGATTTTTCTAATTTCAGCTTTTCAAAACAACAGCACGATGTGGTCTTACCAAGTATGCCTATATACGCATGCTTAATATTTCTACTAAAACTATAAAAACTGTAATTCATCTAGGCATTTTTCTGAACATGTATGTTAGTTCTAAAAATGGTAAGACCACAAGAAAACCTTTATCCCACAAGTAAACTCAGTCCTCTAGTTCTAAGAATCACAGAGGACAAGAAGTTGATCTTGTTCTTAGATTTTATTCTCTGATTTCTATTAATGGAGCCTAAAATCCACCTAATTCTTAAGCCAGTCACCTGAAGGTCATCCTTGGCTCTTTGCTTTTCCGTGTCCCCCACACTGAATCAATAAGGAATTGCTATCGATTTCATTTCCTGAGTATTTCATCTCCACCAATATCAGTCTAGTTAAGAAACCATCATCTTGTGGATGACTTTTCATTTTTACCACCAGAATGTAGGTTCTAGATTAGATGGCAGGAACCGCATCTGACTTGTTCATTACTGTCTTAATTCACCACTGCGTAGCAGATGTTTAATAAAGAAATGAATGGAGGAATCTGCTAAGGAAGTGCTGGAGAGTAAAAAACAGGCCCTTCCCTAAGGAACTGGTAATACAATAGAAGAGATTCTTATGTAAATCATAGCTCAAAGCAATGTGTCTGCTACTGTAATAAAGGAACATAGAAAGTGCTGAGGGAACATAAATACGGGAACAAGTAATTCTCCTAAAAGGCCATGAAACAGGCTAGAACAGCGGTACCCAACCTTTTTGGTGCCAAGGACCAGTGCTCCTATGAGAATCTAATGCCTGATGATCGGAGATGGAGCTCAGGTGGTGATGCTAGCGCTGGGGAGCGCTGCAAATACAGATGAAGTTTCACTAGCTTTCTCGCTGTTCACCTCCTGCTGTGTGGCCTGGTTCCTCACAGGCCACAAACCAGTACCGGTCCGTGGCCAGGGGGTTGGAGGCCCCTGGGCTAGAAGGTCCAGAGAAGCTAAAAGGGATGTACCATTAAGTTAACCACCACCAGATAAGTGGCAATTTGTGGGCAGAGAACTTTGGAGGAAAAAGAGGCAGTCTTTTTAAATCACGGCATGTTTTGGTTGGATTATAAAGTGAAGAAGATTTAAGAAGGTACTGGAGGTGAGCCTGGAAAATAGGCAAGAACCAGGTTATTAAAACCTTTGAACATGCCAAGGACTTTGGTCTCTATCTTATGGTCAATGGGGCTCCATCAATGGTTTTCGACAGGACAAAGGCATGATCAGATGAGACCTGAGACACAGAAATATATATTACGTTGGCAGTGTAGATGTTTAATTGAAGGGAGAAGAGACGGAAATAGGAAGAATATTTGAGAGCACACGAACAGAACACACGTTAAAGATGATAAATTCTGGTCCAGGGCAGCCCCAACAGGGATGAGAAGCATAAGATGGATGCAAGAGAATAAAAAAGAAGTAGACATGCAAGAGCTATGGGTGCCTTCTATATTTCTATGTTGGGCAAATGGATAATGATGCTACTAACCAAGAAAAGAAAAATAGGTCTACAGCCATGCCACCCTGAACACGCCCGATCTTGTCTGATCTCAGAAGCTAAGCAGGGTCGGGCCTGATTAATACTTGGATAGGTGACCACCTAGGAATACCAGGTGCTGTAGGCTTTAATAAAATAAATTGAAAAATTTAAAAAAGAAAAAAGAAAAAGAAAAACAGAAGTAGCAGGCTTGAAAGGGAAGGTTGTGAGAATTGAAACCCATTGCAAATGCATTGTGAAGTGTCTGGATGACTTCAACACAGAGAAGTGAAGCTTAAGAAGCCAGCTTACAAGGTGGGTGTTCTCAGATAGGAATCTGTAATAGGCTCTTATTTAAGGGCAGGTTTCGATCCAAGTGAGTGTTACTGGGCAGACGCAACTCCAACCTCCCTTCCTCTTCTACATCTTGAGTCTTGATTCCTTTCTAAAGGTGAGTCTGAGTGTATGTGTTGGGTGTGGGGGAAACTAGTTATGGAAGGTCCTTCAGCCTTGTGGCTTTCATCGCTAGTTCTGCTTCAGAAGCAGTTGGTCCTACAGACTTTAAGAGTTGGAGGCCACTAGGGCTTGAGAAAAATCTATGTAGGAAGGATATTGCATGTACACGGCCCTGGGTTAAAGCTGTTATAGGAAATAATCCCCAAACTGCATGGCAACGGCCCTCTTAAAAAAAAAAAATCGAAATATAAAGGGCGCTGACTCTGATATTCAATTTCTCTATTTCTTGGACCTGTTTATCTGTTTCCTCAGTATTTGGATATTTTACAACAAGATCATGAAATGAGTCTCAACTTAAAAAGGGTAATTAAATGTGACCATTAAGAAGCTTTCACACTTGACTCTAGTCAACAGTTTTCCTCCTAATGAGTCATTATGAACAGCGACATGCTGATTCTGAACAGCTGTGGTTTGTACCTGGAAGCACAGAGACCGCAGCAAGAGGTTGGCCTGGGTTATCTGAAGGCTTCGCAATCAATCATGAAAAAGTTGCTGCCTAGAAACACGTTAATTGTATTTTCGTTTTACCACATATAATGAATTTGCCATGTATACAATATATTATGTAAAACTGACACAATGCTATGGCCACAGGCTTTTAAATAGCATGACTAAATTCTGAAATTTAAAGTACATATTAATATTCTTTCAACAGGTGGTATTTTGAAAAATGTTAACAGTAATTGAAATTAACATATTTTAAAATATTTAACAAATCCTTCTATAAGAATTTATTTCTGAGGGATATTGAATTTCACATATAAGTATGTA